GGGGGGGATTTGGTAATGTCTGGAAACATTTTTGGTTATCACACCTGGGGGTAGGAATACTACTGTCATCTACTGGGTAGAGGCCACTAAACATCCTACAATACACAGGACAGACCTCATAGCAAAGAATTATCTCGCTGGAAATGTCAACAGTGCTGCTGTTGAGAAACCCTGCTCTCCATAGAGAGCTAAACCCAGCAAAGCTGTCAGAGCTACTTCAGCAAGGGCAGCCCCTAATGCTAGGAAATGATTTAGCTAGAATAACTCTGGAGGAGGTGCACAGCAGTGTTCCTTGGTGGGGGGGGGGGGGTAGATGGGAGGAATCCATGGTGTATCATTTAGAGATGGGGAGTTAAGATATGAAATAGGGGTCTTACTCTACCACCCTTTATTTTTTCCTAGTTTCACTGATAGAACTGACATATCATATTAGTTTCGGGTGTACAACATAATTCCATATTTGTATGTATTGCAAAATGATAACAATAACTTTAGTTAACATCCATCACCTCACAGTTAGAATTTTTTTCTTGTGATGAGAACTCTAAAGATCTACTCTCTTAGCAACTTTCAAATATACAATACAGTTACAGTGTTAACGACTGACTACCTTTCTAAAGACACCACCCAAGTCACTCTATTACATCAACCTGTCTCACTTCCTGCATAGCACTTATCACAGCCGAGAATTATCTTCTCTCCTTTATTACTGTCTTTCCTCTCTGGAATGTAAGTTCCCTGAAAGAATGGCTTATTCTAGTCTCCGCTGTTTCCACAGCACCTTGAATATCTCCTTATAAGACAGTAAGTATTCAATAAAGGTGAACGAGTACGTTCTGACTTTTAACGGATTCAGTGGTAGCAAAGGGGCTAGTCTGAGGCTTCCCCATCTCTGAGATGGGGGATGGGGTGGAGAGTCGAGACCCCAAGCATTTTGGAGACGCGAGCGCTGGGTCTCAAATTCAAAAGTGCCGCCTCCGGAGGAGAGTTTTAAAAAAGGAGAAATTGGAGCGTACCAATGCGAGGAGGGACGCGTAAGCGTATCGTTTGGGACCAGAGACCATGGGAGGGCTACCAGCGGTCCCACATCTTCCGGAGGTTTCATACAAGACAGAGAAGCCAGCTGGCTGGCAGTGGACTCCGGACAGCCACTTTTGGCGGGAGGGGGCAGAGGGCGGGTGAACGTACAGTCTGGCGCGTACCACTCCGGCGGGAGCAGGGGGAAAACGCAAAGACCGGGCACCTGACACCTGGGGAAGAGGTTTGAATCAGAGCACCCGAACGGGGAAAGCAGGTTTAGGCCGAATCCCTTAAGGAGGGGCAAGGAACCTGTTAGGGTTTGCGACATTCCAGGTGGCACGGGCTGGGTTGTACTACTCTGCTGCCGGATTGGGGGTCCTGGCTGGGACGTGTGCAGGGCCACAGCAGGGCTTATCTCACCAGAGCCGTTGGGTCCAATGATGGCGGTGAACCTCTGAAATGGTCCGATAATCTGTCGACCCTTGTACGACTTGAAGTTCTCGATCTCAATCAGTTTCAGGAAACCCATGACGGCGGCAGCGGCGCCTGTACGAATGGCCGCGCCGTACGCCGGAGAACTGGGGTAGCCTGCGCGGGAAACACCGCAGTGCAGGCCGGGCGGATCACAAATCTCGCGAGAATAAGTGCAAGGCGAACGGGACTTCCGGCTTCCGGAGAGGGCGGAAGTCAGGGGTGGGGGCCTTCAGGCGGGTGAGGTTTTGTTGATCCGTTGCCAGGGCGCGAGTTTACGGCAGGCGTTTGGGCCCCGCCCTCCTTTCTTGTTGCATGGCAACGCAGGCCGCGGCCGCCGCCACTACCGACCGAGTCGCGAAGGCAGCAGTTCCTGGAAGAGACTGCGCCGCTTTTAGGCTCCCGGGCAGCAGGCGGGATCAGAGCTCACGCTTGCCGAAACGAGTCAAAAGTCACAGCAGGGCTATGCCCTTTAGGGCAGGGGAAGGTGAGAGTACAGCTGTGGTTTTAACCGGAAGGCTCAAACAAGAACAGGATCTGGAATTGGAAGGACCCCGGGGAGCGGAGGGCTTTACGGGAAGGAGGGGCGGGCGGGAGGTTTCGGTGTTAGGTGAGCTCAGACCTTGCTGTGGTTGGGGGTTTGGAGGCGGAGTGGGGTGCGGTTAGAGGTGGGATGGGGTGTGAAGGGAGATGAGGGTACTCTGGAACAACAAAGATACCAGCTGGGGAAAGCTATGGCCAGAGGTACTGCCTCTATCCCCTGCCCCCCTCCTGTTCCTCCAAGCAAAGACTGACACTGTAGGCCAAGAACAGTCTTGGACCTGAGCCACTTGTTGGCTACTTGAATCTAGACCCCACCTAGGAGCTTGAAAATTGGGACTCCTTGCTGAGAAAGGTATTTTGTGTGAACCCTTAGGAGTCAGAGCCCCTAAGCCAGTGTTCTCCACCTTTATTTTATCCTTTCCCCTTCATCTCTCTCTCTCCATGCCTCACCCCCATCCCATTCCCTCCTCTCCATTCCCCTCTGCCCCATCTCTTGTTTTCCCCTTCCTCTTCTCTCTCTGCTCTCTGTCCTCCACCCTCATCCCCCTATCACCTTATACCTTTTCATTACTAAGGCCATGGCCTTAGCAGTCCAAGAAGCTTAAAATTCTGCCAAATCTTCCCCTTCAGTGACCCTATGTTGTGGTGGCAGATGGAATTAGTAGGCTGGGGTTGGTGCTTAGACTTAGATATGGAAAGGGTCTGGTGGTTGCCATAGCCATTCCTGTAACTGTTTTAAAAATGATTTCTGGAGGCCGAAAAGAATCTTAAAGTCTTAGGACAAGTCCAGGAAAGTGAGAAAGCTTGGATGATGGAATCTAGTAAAGGAACCATAAATGAAGTTCAACTGGGAGAAACAATCGCAATCAGGCTGAGGGGATAAAATGACCAAAGGACAGGAATCTGACAGGAACTATTGTTACATTGTTAAAAGATGAAATGGGGCTTGGGGAAAAAAAAATCAAATTGAATCCCCACCTCTCATATCATATACGAAATGCAATTCCAAATGGATTAAAAACTTAAATAAGGAAGGTAAAATTTTAGAATATACAGGAGAATATATGATCTCGGGATTTCTTAAATAATAAAAATTATTATCAAATAATAATAAAGTGAAAAGAGTAGCCACAAATTGGAGATGTTTGCCACATATAAATTGAGAAATGTTTAGTGTGTAGAATACATAAGGAACTCCTAAAATTAATAAGAAAAGGATAAACAACCTGATTTTTAAAAATTGAATAGACACTTCACAGAAAATCAAACAAAAATGGCCAAAACACACATGAAAAGATGTGCAATCTCATTAGCAATAAGGAAAATTCCACTTAAAGTCGATAATTATAATTTTATACCCACAAATTGGCAAAAATCCAATACCAAATGTTAGTGAAAATGTGGAGTGGCTGGAGTTTTTATACACTATAATGAAAGTGTAAATTGGTACACTCTCCTTGGAAAACAAGTTAGCATTCATTTATCTGGTAATGTTAAATAATGCTTTAAATACTATGATCCTGCACTTCCACTCCAGGTATATGGTAGAGAATCTTTCCCACCTGTATATGTCTCTTTTAATCTTCAGGTTCCTCCTCCCTCTTTTTCTCTTGCCGTTAAAAAAGTAAACTGGGTTATTTGTGCCAGAGTCTTATTCTTTAGTGAACCTGCTTCAATCAGGCTTTTGGTCCCACATCTTCACCAAAAATGTTCTTGTCAAGATCACCAGCAACCTTCATGTTACTTAGTTCTCAGTCTTCCTCTTAACCCATCATCAGTTGCTCAGTCTCTCCCAAAAACTCTTCACTTGGCTTCTCTAATATCACACTTCTGGTTTTTCTCCCACCTCACCAGCCACTCCTCCTTAGCTTCCAATGCTGGCTCCTCTTCTCCCTGTCACCCCTAGGACACTCTTAGCCATCTACACTCACTCCCTTAGAGATCTCTTACAGCCTTATAGTTTTAAATTCCTTTGTATCAGGTTAGGCTAAACTATGCTGAGGTTACAAACAACCCCAAAATCTCAGCAGCTTATATCATTGTGGGTTGGCTGCATCTCTGCTCTATGTCATCATTCCAGGACCCAGGCTGAAGGAGCAGCCCTTACTTGAGACATTGCCAGTCTCAGCAGAGTGAAGAGAAAAGGTGGCTATCACCTAATGGCTCTTGATTCTGCTTGGGGATGGCACATGTCAACTCTCACACGGGGAAGGCAAAGCAAATCACATGGCTAACCCTGTGATGTATAATCCTTCTATAGAAAGGAGCAGCAGATCTTTTTGAGCAATAAAAAAATTTACCATACCATTTGTATGCTATCAATGGATATATAATAGACCTGTCAATCTCAACAGTCCCAAACTGATCTGATTCACCCCCATCCCATACATCCCATCTCCCTACACAGTGTTCAGTTGATAGTCCATCCCTCTGATTGCCAAGGCCCACATCCTTGAAGTTGTTCTTGATATGGCTCTCACACCACACATCCAATCCATCAGGAAATCCTGTTGGCTCTGCTTTCAAAATATATCCAGAAACTGACCACTTCTCACCATCTCTACTGTTACCAACCTAGTGTGAGTCACCACCATCTTTTGCCTGGACAACTGCTACAGGTTCCTGTCTGGTGTACCTGCTTCTAGCCTTGCCTCTCCTGCCCCTGGTCTATTCTTAACACAGTAGCCAGAGTGATCTTTTAAAAACCAAAGACAGCACACATCACTCCCACTGCTCAAAACCCTCCAATGGCTGCCAGTTTCTCCCAGAGTAAAAGCCACAGCCTTTACAGTGGTCTGCAAAGTCCTGCATGCTCTGGCCCCTCCGTTATCTCTCTAATGTCATTTCCTACCTACCTCTCTTTCACTCACATACTTGCCTCCTGCTGTTCCCTTGAATGTGTGCCTCTCATGTCCACATTAAGGCCTTTGCACTTGCTGTTTCCTCTGCTTGGAGTGCTCTCTTCCTAGATATCTGCATACGTGACTCCCTTCAAGTATTAGCTCAAATATTACCTTCTCAGTTATGCTTTTTTTTCTGTTTCCCCCCCAGTACCACATTTAAAAATGAAAAAAAAAAAAAAAAAAAAAAAACCCAACCATTTCCTTGGCACTTCCAATTCCCTTTATCCTACTCTATATTTTTTCTCATAGCGCTTATCTTCTTACAAACTATTTAATGTACTCTTTATTGTAAGTCTGCCCCCACTATAAAGTAACCTCCACAAGGACTCAGATTTTTATTGCTTATGCTCCTTGATGTCTTCCGATGCTTAAAGGAGTGTCTGACAGTAAGCACTCCATAAAAATTTATTAAATGATAGAATGAACATGAGTGGAAAAAGCAAGATGCAGAACAATACATTCTTCATGATATTTTATAAAGTTCCAAAACAAGAAAATATTTTAAAATATTGTTCGGGGAATGGTACATATAGTATATTAATACATATTAGTGAAGGAATATTAACATTTTGGATAGTGGTTATCTCAGTGTAAGGATGAGAGAAAGAAGGAATGAGACACGTAATAGTAGTGATCATGTTCTATTTCTTAAGTTGGAGAGTTGGTTCATGTGTATTTCATACTTCTTAACATGCATATGGATTATATGTATTCTGTATGTATCTAATATTTCACAGTTACAAAATGGTTTTTTTTTTAAAAAAAAAAAGGGACCGGAACTAGCTATAAGAGGAGTTGAGGAATGGTGTTCCAAACAAAAGAATGGCTGTGTATAAAGGCCCTGAGGTGAGAACAGTTGTTTTATTGGAGGACTTGATGGGAGGCCAGTGTGCCTGGAGCACTGTAAGCAAGGGAGCGGGTGGTAAGAGATTAACTGAAGAGGTATGCAGGAACCAGATCTTGAAAGTTAGGAGTTTGGATCTGATTCTAAGTGCAATGGGAAGCCAGCGGAGGGTTTTAAGCAGGTGAGAGACATGATAAGATTTATGTTTGTGAAAATGTTTTTGGCTTTGGCTTTAGCTGGCTCACATGCCAAAAGTGGGCTTCCCAAAATATGAAGGAACACAGGCAAATTTAAGTCCTCTAGCCTTTCATTTGACTAAAGAATAAGTAATAAAAATAAATGAAATGCTAAAATAAATAAGTAAATGGGAACATGGTATCAGTTACTGAAATGGGTAAACCTGAATAAAGTATAATGTGAAAGGGAGAATGTTGTAAATGAGTTTGAGACTTGGAAAGGTAAGCAGGAACTGGATCATGGAGACCCTTACAAATCTAGCAAAGGCAGGTAGACTTTATCTTGTAAACACTGAGGAACCATTTAACGGTTTTAAGCTGAGGGGGGTGCCATGGTTAGATTTGCTTTTAGAAGGATCACTCTGGTAGCCAGTGCAGAGGAAGAAATAAAGAAGGTAACACTGGAGCAAGGGAGGCTGCTGAGGCTCCTGGGAATATTGTCCAGCACCAGATTGTGAGGCCTAAATTAGGGTGGTGACAGCAAAGATGGAGGACACAAATACGAAATATATCAAGAAGTAAAATCAATAGGAATCAGTAACTGGTGAGATACTGTGGGGAGAAAGGAATGAGGGTGGGGGTGTGGCATTATGGGTCATCCCATTTCCCCCTTACTCCAGATGTTTAAGCTAGACCTGCCACCAGATCCCAAGGAGGTGGCAGCCATTGAGGCTAGAAGAAATCGAGAAAAGGAGCGACAGAGCCGAATCTTCAATGCGCGGACCCGAGTCATAGGGGTGAGTGAGTGGGCAACAGGGACTTTCTTGGGACCAGGAGCCACCTCACTCTTGCACCTGGAGGAGAATGGAGCAGTGCCTTGTACAGCCCCTCCCTAATTCAAGCAGGCCCTAGGGCTATAAAGGAAGGAGAGGAGGAGAAGGCACTCACCCCTGGGTGTGGGAAGGGCCTGGGAAGGAGTGTGGAGCTGCAAGGGAAGAGACTGGGGGAAGAGGAGCCAGTGACAGCTGACTCTTCAGCCAGGTGGCCTGGTTCTCAAGAGACAAGCAACATGGAGCCAGAAGAAGTCTAAAGGATATTTGGTATTCCATCTGCCTAAACTCTCTCTGGAAGGCTACATAAGAAACTGTTCATAGGCTGAGGGACAGAGATGAGAGGGACACTGACTTTTCACTAAACTATATTCCGTTTTGCACTATTTCGAAATGTTTTAAATGAATCATTATCAAAATAAAGAGAAAATATTGATCGTTTAAGAAAAAATAGATTGCCGAGTGGGTGGATAGGGGGAGGATGGTATTCTGGAAAAGACCCCATACCTGTGCTCAAGGGCCAGGTCTACTGTTTACTAGATGTGTGGCTTTGGATGAGTCACCTGTCTCCTCTGAGCTTCAGGCTCTTCCTCAGTAAAATGAGGCTAAAGGAAGTGTTGAGGTGAGTATGAACATATGGTGGCAGCTCTGGAAACCAGAGCCTAGTGCCTGACACAAGTTGGCTGAGGGATGAGTTGTGTAATTGCGATCCAATTGGCAAGCACCTCCTAGGGCCATCTCTGTGCCAAGCTCTGCGTTGTGCAATGCTAAGGCCCAGTCTCTGGGGGAGATCATTGATTAAGGCCACCTTCGACATAAATTGCCCAATGGGTCCTAGACCCTGTGGGAATAGCACCTGTCAGGGGAGTCAGGAAAATGAAGCCTGAGCTGGTCTTGAGGAATGAAATGAATTTGAG